CCCTGTTCTCCATTCCCTCCACAGAAACAGCATCTCCCAGAGGAGGGAAAAGGAGATGGGGCACAAGGCCGATGAGAGGACTGGGACTGCTGGGGTTTGCACCCAGGGTGCCAATCTGACCATTTACTTCTCTGCTTAGTAGTTTAACCTTAATTTAAATACTTGCGAATGAGACTGTTTCTAATGCTGTAGCCATGGGTGCAGTTCAGCAAAACACTCAAGCACATTGTGAACTTTTAAGCATGTAAATTAACTGAGCAAACATTTGAGCATATTTTTTAACTTGAATAATGCTTAAAACCCACTGACGACAATGGGACTGAACTACATGCTTAAATGCCTTGTTCAGTTGGCACCCATATTGTGCCATATTTTGCTTAAGAAAAAAATAAAATAAAAATGCCTACTGAGAGAAATACGGTAATCTTATACTAAGATACTGGCCTGTAAAATTAAAGCTTCATCATATGATGCTAAGCCAAGCACTTACCTGTCCCTATCTGAATTTCAGTTTCCCATTTTGATTTATTTTTCTCCAAATGTGACAATGATTGCAAAGAACCAGAGAAGAACAGCATAGGTGGTTTGACATATGATTAACTTTCAATATAACCAGAGATGGGTAGGAAAAAAAGAATAATTTAGTCCAGAAGGAGAGTGAAAATAAAGTATTTAAACTCTGAAAAACTAGTATAAACTCATCGGTCCTTTATTTTACACTACCATTAATATCAGAACCAAGGACTGCTTATAAAATTGATAATTAAATAACATTAGTAACTCATGGACTTCACTTCCTCATATGGTCAATGCTGTGAATGGATTCAGCAGAAGAGTAAATAATTTTATTCCCACTAAAACATTTACAGGTATGAAGAAGTAAAGAACATCAGGATAACCAAACGTCAAGCATAAACCAATTGTCTATCTAATCCAGGAATTAATATTACATCCAACCTTATAGTTGTGTTCACCTTGAGTTTGTATTTATAGCGTTTCCTCTTTAAAATTTTAAATAAGCTTTTACAACTGTTATCCTAGTATCCATGAATGTAGACATGTTTTGCAAATAAGAATTGCCTTCTGGAAATACTTTGTAATTATGGTAGTGAAAGTGTTATTCCCACCTACTTGGTAATCTTTTTGGAGATATTTACATTCAAGTACTGTTTCTTTTTCAACAGTTTATGTTCTAATCCAGTCATTGCCGTCTCTGTATCACAACAGACATACAACTTAAAACTTAATGGATTTTAGTTTGAACTTTTATGTAAAACTGTAAGGAAAAAATAGTTATGTAGCTTTAATTTTTATTCACTTATCTGCTAGTCATACTTACCACAAGCTGTCCAAAAAACCTTTTACAGGAAAGATTAAAACCTGAATATATGTTGTGGCCTTTTTCATAATCTGATACCAACAGCAAATAAAAGCTGCATGAAATAGCACTGGACCCTCCCACTAAGAAACATTAAATTAATGCTGGTGACATGGGTCGGTTGCTTTCTTTTTATATGATTCAGATTTATCACTCCATTGGGTGATTCACTGCAGCCTTTTAAAGGATTATTTGATTCATGGCATGTTCAAAAGGAAATTGTGATAACAGTAAATACTCAAGTAAAATAAAGTAACTTTCAAAGCCCTCCTATCTTGCTTGAAAACAAACTTTTTTACTTTTGCTGAGGAAGTAGAGATATCTTGTAATTTCTTTATTGACATTTGATGAGATATGGAGATTGATGGTTTAAATGACAAGGGCAAGAGAAGTAGAACACTTTTTCAGAGATCTCTCGTTCCAGCTGTAACTCTGTTTCAATCTATGACCTCCCTCAAAACATCATTATATAATGACTTATCATGGACCCTATTTCATACTGGTGCCTGGAATGCAAGTGTTATTTCTTCCACTGACTGGTAGAAGAAGAACTATTTATATATTTTACTTTACTATCTCCTTGTCTGCCAACTTGGGAATGGATTCTGCAACCTTAATCAAGATCTGCTAAAACTAGTCTGATTGTTTTCACTGGGACAAGAGGCAGTTGTAAGGATTCCAGAATTGGGTCATTGAGTCACCAAATTGTTGAAATTGCCCTAAGATTTAGGTATCCCTTGAATAAGAAACAGTTCTAGAAACCAGGGAACCAGATCACCTATATTGTTGACTGATTTAATTTTTGAAAGTAAGTATTCTATTATTAAGCATTATAGGAATTTTTAACAATCACAAGTGAATATATTCTGTTGTCTGGGGAATTTGTAAAAATGTTTAGTTGCATGGAAATCTTATAAAAACCTGGCACACATCTATGTCTTGTGGAGTGACCACAAAATTCAGAGTCATGACTCTCAATTCCTTGTTTCACCTCTCAACTGCTATGTCATTTGGGGGATTAGAAAAGAGTTTACTTCTGTGCCTTTGTCTTCCCATCTGTGAAATAGGATTCTGCCTCTTGCACAACTAACCATGACATTGTGAAAATAAATGTCTCCATAATGCTTCAAATATGGAAGATAAAACTGTTTGTTGTCAGACAGAAATTTGTTGAAATATCAGACTGAGAATGAAAATTAAGAAAAATATCTTTGTAAGGTAGACCTTCAATGCTGATGTCATTTGAGTAACTTGAGGACCTCAATTAAGCTTAATTTAGCCTTTAAAACTGCACAGTAACAAAAAGTATGTGGACATCAAGAAGTTTTTAAAATTAACCATTTTCCAGCTTTAAGATTATTTTGATTTATATTCAAAACGATTCCCAATTAAATCAGGTAACGTGCAAGTGTATGGAACAACTGGATTTTAATTAATTGATTAGAAGCACAACTAATCTGCTGATTTGTTCATCATAACTGATTGATTTTTTTCAAGTTAATCTATATAAGAGGCAGTCTAAATGGCTACTTATGGCACACTGTTTGTTTGAAAAATTTATCTTTGCATAGTAAATCCAAGATATCATCTTCATAATACCAATTTATTTTAAGATGTCTTCTTTAAACCTTGATGTAATTCTAGTGATATCTTTCAGCTTTTGTCAGCAGTAAATGGCACTGAACAAAGTCAGAGCTGTGATATGAATTGGGGAAGTTGGCAATGCAAACAAATCTTTTCTTGTGTACAGATTGTATATCGGATTTTGCAATGGTAGCGTTAGCAAATTGTGGTAATGTAAATGGTTTAACTTTTAAGCTCTCATTTTCCTTGAAGTGCCATGAGGGGACTAATCAAACTAATGTTACAAACAGGTCAGTACTGACAGGCTTTTCTTGATGTTTGGTTGCAGTTGACAGTATATAGAATTTATTAATAGTAAGTACAATACTGTCAGCTGAATGGAGAATTTGGAGGGTTTATTACCAGGAAAGGATAGTTCTTTGCAGGAGACTGTTTCAAATAGCCACTGCCTTAGGTTCAGTGTACATGATTTTTTCATTGGAATAATATTGTTTATGTAATAGATTGCCATTAACTAAAAATGTAGTGGATTTTTTTAAGAGCAACATAGTATCTCACTGTAAACTTTGAGATGTGTTCTTATTTTATAGCTTTGAAATGTCCAGATAGGTGTAATATATTTGAACTTTTACAGCCATTTAAAACAAACGTCTTCTAGCTGGATATTATTGTTCCAGAGGCTACTTAGTATGGATTTCTATATAATTCTTTAACTATCCATGTGGGTCTTTAGCTTCAACTAAACTGTGATATTTGGCATCATGCTGCTCATATATGTATTTACTGTCAGAATATGTCTAATTTATCGTCTCAGACTTGTTATTTCTTTTTGTGTACTGTACACCTAATACGCTAGGCCTCCCCCCCTTAAATTGTAGCTGTAACATTTTGGTTTGTTACTTTATGGTCTCGTTGGTTAATAATAGGAAATTAATTAGTTGGTTCCTGTCTCAAGGTAATGAAGTGTTGATTCAGTGATTCTCATTTAATTATTTTATGTTGTTAATGTTGAAGGATTTGCCCAATACCAAGATCTCTAGAAGCATGTACAGTTGTTTAATAGCAGCACATAATTAATATTTGACCTAAGATTTTTTTTAAAAATGAAACTCTTTGAAAAAATAAACATCGCTCCTTCCCACCTAAACAAAGGCCAGAAAAGAGAGTTTGGTTTTATGTCACACCCTGAAAGTTAATGGAATTGGTGGGAGTAGATACCAGAGTAAAAGATCTTTCTACTTATAGGCATACAAACATTTTTAACATCTATTCCTCAACTGTTATGTCAGTACACAAGGAAAGAGATGATTTTTCAGGAAGCCGTAATCTAGCCATGGGGGACATTATAGATCAATATTATCACTGATAGTAATAAACAGCGTATAGTACTTCTAAACTAGTTTTTCATCCCTGAATCTCAGAGTGCTGAATAAATACAGGTAAACATTGCAATCCCTATGTTACAGAGAGTACACTTACAACAGAAACTTTAAGGCAGACATTCTAATATAGAAGTATCCACTAATTCTGTATGATTCAGTTTTTAGGTCCCAAACTTGAAACACCAAGATCTGATTTTCAGAGGTGCAGAATAGGCAGGTACCGTCATCTCAGAATGTGCTCCTTGTCCTTTGATCATCATTTTCCTCTTTTTCTGGACTGAACTGCAGTTTGCCCTTATCCAACTCCCCCATTTTAACTGGGCATTGAGAAACAAATATACCATAACATCTGGGTTTGTGTAAACAGAGACAGACCTACAAGTCATCTTAAGTACATAAACCAGCACATCCAATTCAGTTGTTCATATATAGTGAAGCTTTAATCCAGTAAAAATAACTGCTTCTTATATTACAAGAATAATATTGTTTGTGTTCAAATTCAAAACATAATTGTGAATACATGACTTGCATTAAAGTACTTTAACATTTTGCAGTTGCAGTCCCTGGAGAATTTTTTGTATAGTACAATAGGTGCTGTCTTATATAAATTTAAAGCTCAGTGACAGCAGTTAATGTGTTTTTGTATGCCTTTTCAGAATAATAGATCAGCGGTTTGAGAAAGTTTCGTATTTTGTCTTTGGAGATTTCAACTTTCGACTGGATTCCAAAGCTGTAGTAGAGGTAGGATTTTCTGTGTTCTTCAGTGCTGGGCACTTTTTAATGTCTTCACTTCTTGCATTGTTTCCTTTGGAGAGAAAATCATAAAGTGACTTAAAGCAAAGCATTTACTATTGATGTCAAACTTGCCAAGGAACATTTTTATCATGAACGCTTAACAGGTAACTGAAAATGACTAAGGAATTAGTCTGATTCAATAAAAAGTAGCCAGGCATACTAATAGTTTTCAGTTTATTTACCAAGAATGTAATTGTGTACCATGCTAACCAAATGCTTTAGAATGAATAGACTGGTTATGTATTCCTTGATTCTGAGAGAACCAGGTATTCTCTGTTCAGAAAGGCAGCAACAGTTCAGAAAACTGTTGTGCGGGCTTAGCATTTCTGTGGATTAAGAGAACTCAATTTCTCCCTCATTTGCCCGCCAGTCATTCATTCAGTTTAAGAAGTTCTAATATTCTAGATCTCAAATATGGTGTATTTATTATAATCCCTGTGGGCTAAGCCTTAACAGTTCCATCTTGCTCTTCTCCCCAGGGGCAAAATCCAAAATGTAGCTAAAATACTGGATCTCTGTAGGGCAGGGGTGGGGGAAACATGCTGTGAAGAGCACATACAGAGGGAGTTGCAGATTCCTGTCTGCTCCACAACATTGCTGTCTTATTGCTCTCTTCACTGGACAGCAGGGATTGCGGGTGGACGTGAAGGGGGGTCTCAGGTGTTTTTAAGAAAAGCCAGGGATTGCAAGAGTGAAAGGGAAGAGTCTGTCCCTTCAACTACTGTAGGATTCTTTGTACAAAGTACTTAACACTTGTAGTTCTTGCATGACTCCAGAATTTCATTTTAAGCTTTTGCCTGTTGTCACTTGCTATATCTCACAATGCTTTTTGTTTTATTAGAGATAAATGCATGTTTACGCATATAACAAGTGAGGAAATTTACATAGAACTAGAGATGTTTCCTAAACTTCTAAGACAGAACGCCCTAAAAATCACATGTGCTATAAATACATTCATGACTGGAATATATGCAAATATTTGTGGGGCTGGCATTTTAGTATGGGGAGATGAACAGAGGATCTGTATAAAAGCCAAACAGAATACGGTAAACCATTTTCATCATGAGTTGAGATTACCTTGAGTTTATTGCTAAAGCTCAGCTCCAAGTAACACAGGGTCAGAAATAATATCCAGGGTTGACAACCACTTTAATCTCATGGTTTTTCCTTTTTAATTCCCAGAGATATCATAGTGTCTTTTTGCTGTCCTTGAGGGCAAGCATGTGTCTTCTTTTAAACCAAAAGCTAATGCTGCTTTGTGGTTTACACAGCAAGAAATGTGTGCGTCCAAAGATGGGGTTCCCCTCTTTTAGCAGTGTGATGCATCCCTCATTCTACCTGGGATGTTCAGTCTCTGGTCTGCTGAAAAGTAATAGTGCTTCATGTGGCAACTGGTGTATATAGCTGATAACCCTCCATATGGAAGCATTTATGTGATGCAATCCTTTTTCTAATGGACAAAACTGAGGGATAATTTAAATGAAATGCAAAGCACTGATTTAGAATATTCAACTTTTTATTATGGTACAAGCCAAAGAAAACTCTATTAACCATTTACTACCCCCAAAACGTCAATGTTTAGATAATAATGAAGAAGTCAGTTACATAATCATCTTTCTTGGAATGTCGGTGTTTTGGTTTTTTTACTTCATTCAGATTGCAGGGATGTAGGTGAGAGTATGAGAACATCAGTCATTCATGCTTCAGCAGAAATATTTCCTTTCTCCTGAGAGATTCTGAGCACCCTAAGCTACCAGTGCCTTAAGTACTCTTCAGGATTGAACCAGTAGAAAATGGTTTCCCATTTTGCTAATTTTCATTAAGATGTTAGTTGAGGCTTCTATTACATTAGAAATCTTGTCAACAACTTTAAAATATTCCATAAGCGTACATGTATTATATATGCTCATACTGTATTGTATGGTACACAGTAGGTGCAAGTTATGATAACTTATCCAAATGTAAAAGCTACATGAATGCTAAGTAAGCAATATATGAAGGGTAATGGTCAAAGAACTAAAAATGAGTCTGTAAATTTAGTCAGGCCTCTGATAACATCATAAACCCTAACACTGAAGCGGTAGCCAAAATGATGGTTTTAGCTCTCATTTTGGGTCACTTTAGTAATTAAATCATATTCATGTTTGGTTATTCCATTAATTATTGTTGACAAGTAAAGCATATTTTTTCAGTTCAAAATATTTCTTGGTTTTAAAGTGATTCTCTCCTAACAAAACAAATGATATTACCCATAAAGGACATGAATCACACAGCAGATTCAGTAATAGGAAATGCTAATAAAAAACATACTTAGTACTTGTGTAGCACGTCTCATCTTCAAAGTGCTTTTGACATTAATTAACATTTGTTACCTATCCAAACCTAAGGGTATAGAGAAGATTCAGTTCAACCATGAATCAAACTTATTTGCACATCTTTTCCTAGAATAGCTAATATAGAAAAATTGCAATTCTCTTCTCTTCCATTCTTTATTTGACAATAAGCATATGACATTACTCTAAGCTTTGTTATTATGTAATAAAAGGCCCTATTGCAATAACACATGCATACAGTTCAAGTTGCAAGTGTAACCATACATTTGTAGCAGTCTTTTGCATTTAGTACAAGTATTGCTATATCTGTGGCATCCTGAACATGTAAAACATGGCTGTGGCATGCATGCGCAATTTACTTCATAGATAGGATAGTACTGGGAAGATTCCGCCGACTTCCAAGATTCCATAGTAGTAGCGTGTGGATTATGAATTAAACATGGCAAGTGCATAACACTCTCTTTTGGTACAGGTGTGGTGATAGGTGTAGATTCTTAGGGGACTGAGCAGAATCTGAAGCCTAATTTTAAATGATTCAGTTGCAAATAATTTCTAATAAAATGAAATAGCACCTTAATTATTTGAGTTTATGTAGCACTTTTCATCCAGAAGAACCCTAAAACACTTTACAAACTGATTTATACTTGTTGCAGCTCAAGCCCTCGCTATCATAGCAATCACTGTAGTCAGTGGAAAGTGAAATGATTTGGCCAAGGTCATACACCAAGTCAGTGACACAATGGGGAACAGAACTGATTAAGCTTGAGTGGCCATCCACCACTTTTTGTAAAACCAGTCGAGGGTAGTGCCAGATTTAACAGAATGCAGTGCATTTTATGGGACAGTTTAAATTTGCAAATGTAAAGTGAGTAGGATATATGTTTGAATTTGAGCCTTCCAAAAGATCATCTGGTGCCCTTTTTGCATATGCACATGCAAATCTCTAATATTAGGTATTCATTTCACTGTTTGGTTGTCTATTAAATGCCAGTATTCAAAGGGTCAGTCCTCCAAACTATTATATTTGTATCTGTTACTAAATTTCTCTCTCCTTTTCCTACATACCTTTTCCCCTCTGTCATAAAAGCGCAGATTGCCAAGTATTTAATTACTGTAAAACGCTATAAGCAACAGGTAACCATTCACAGAATTATAGGATAAGCATATCTTATAGCAGCATAATGTAATATATTTCTAAAGACTTAGTCAATATATCTATTGAAAGAGGAAATAAGAAAGCTGTTTCCATACACCCAAGTGCAGTGTGCTACATAACATGCCAAAATGTTTTCCTTATTAATTTATAATTAATAGGCAATAAATCATTAGTGTATAATTTATTAAAGATGTTATAGGAACCTAAATCTAAAGTAGTATTGATTTCTTTGCTAGGAAATTCTGCTTTACTGTTGTTGGAGCAATCCAGGGAGGATCAATAAAACAGGCATAGGCTTCTAGTGATTCCAAGATCCATATGTGCATGAACAAGTATGTTGTCCAGAGGGATAAACTGGCAGACAAGAAATAGGATGTCAGCAGCATACCAAGCATAGCAAATATTGAAGAAATAGAATTGTTCTACAATGGACTTGAATTATAGTTTGAGTCTAATCTATAGCTTGGCACAACGGTGTACAGTAAAGTTTAGAAAAATAGCTACTGCTCAGACATATTAGCCTCTTCTAAGCATTTTAAAATCTCTTTTGAAAATGGCTAATTGCAGGTTTCCATATTGTATTAAATCCAATTTTCTTTGGCCTAAGTATGACCGAAAAGAAAATGAATCTTTTCTCTAAAGAGTCTTCCTGATGGTTCTGCTTGTGCCAACTCTCAAAATGTAGCATAGCTACTCACAGGCACAAGGAATTATAAGATGTAAGGTACCCGTTCCTGTATACTAAGTACCCATCAGCACTGGCACAGAAAGCGAGAAAGCAGTCTCCATGGGAATGGTCTCATCTTGGGACATGCACGGTGCCAGTTCTAAGTAACAGTCCTATGCTTAGGGCTCATAGCAAAGAGAAAATGCCATGGGGACCATTACTTTAATAAAAATTATGTTAATCTTATAAACAGACGTATGAGGTAAGTTATTTACATCAATACAAGAGAGAAGGTAACCAGTTTGTAGGCCCAAGCAGAATAAGTAAAAAAATATAAGGCCTCCTTGGAAATGAGGCAAATTTACTTTGTACAGCTTTTATACTTTGGATTATGCTGGAGCTTGAGTTACAGATCTCCTTAACTAGAATTTGATATGTATATGCTACCAGATGTTAGTTATTGTGGCGCTGTGTTGCTGTTTAATAAGCCACCAAGTTTGTCATGTAGCTAAAACACTGGTATGTCACCAGTCTTCCTTACTATATTAATGTATTAAAGAATAAACATCACCTTATTGCTTTGTTACCCTGCACACCGAAACAATTGCTGGAGCCACAAGACTACTGTTAATTGGTATCTACTTTGTCACAGTTTAGATAGTGTAGATGTAGGTTTTAGCTCATTCTTTTAATCATAGCTCTTCCAGCTATGTTTACTTTAGAGGGGCATAGTGACTTTCCTTGTTTATGTCAGTTTGGGGCTTAAATTACTATTGTGGTTTTAAAAATC